ACTTTCTATATGATCATCCCTCTCGTTGTGATATGCCCAATCCGTTTCTGTAACAGAAAACAAATAAACGATCGCTTTCGCTTTGTGATCGATGCTTGTTCAAATATATGTGGACATGTGCTCCTCGGGAACAATTGCTGACGTTTGTTCAAGAAATGCTTCGGTGCTTTTGATTTATAAGACAACTATGTATGAATGTCTTGTGTTGACATTGTTTGGATTACTCTATCTTCATTTGTGTTCATTTTTTTTAAGTATCTCTATTAAAATCTGACAAATGCTTGTGGAAAAATCCAAGTTGATAGAAATAACTGCCGTTGGGTAATTCAGAGAAAACTCATCAAACTTTCGTCGCTTAGTCACATTTAATACGTTTTTTACTCAGGACGGGAAGTCTCATAAATTTCTACTTGCATATTTTGCTTATTTATAAACATCTTACTGGTGTCATCGTGAATCCCACTTGAGTCTATTTTGAAATACATGCAATTTTTTCACTAAAGTGATATACTTTCAAATATCTTAAGTACAGCGTATTTGTGATCATTACGTACTCATAACATTCATCAATGCAAAACGAGATGTTCTTCACAATTTTGCATCGTCAGACACAGGTGATTTCTGACGCATCGCTAACAGTAATTCCCTATCAAATCAGCAATCAGGCCCATCCTGTGACCGTCTGCAAGCGACGACCTCTATCGTCGAGTCATCGAACCTCAAAATATTTCCTAAATGGGTTAATGTCCCATCGCGCACGCAACACGCCCTACCCGAGGTGATCCCTGGAATCCGACGGAATTGTGCCGTAATTCGCTACCACTGAGCACGGGTGAATATTTAAATGTGCTTCCAGCCCTCAGGTAGCATTGGATTAAAATTTTAGAAAGTTGAGCTTGTTAGATACTGAATACAAATTACATTTGTGATATGCTTCATAACTTTATCTTTGAAAAGTATACAAAGAAGGAGCATAAAGTAGAATAGATAAAGCTAGTAGGAATCACAAAAGAAAGCAAAGGAATATATTGCGATCTACCTCAGAAAATGCGTAGTGCAAGATTCTTTACATGTACTTTATAATTATTGTCACCCTTATTGTTTAAATTTTTACAATATACTGAATACAATATATAGAGCCATAGTTACTCATACTCGTACAAAATCAAATTAAACAGCCGATGTGTTAGTTACTCACAGCCCCGTTTTAAATCGGCGTCTGTTGCACGCGTAGAATAATTCACCGTTGCGAATCCAGCGACGTTTCCACGTAAAGCGAATCTTGTGTTTTATAAGGAAAATCTGAATTTAGACATTATGCAAAAAAACCGGCAAGAAATAAATGTATACTTTTACTGTCTTCAGCCGGTATGGGATATTGCGATGCGCTTATCGTTACTCCGCGCCATGTGCGGATCAACAAAAGATCGTATTGATTTTGCCGACTACAATGCATGCGCACGAAACAAGTGCACGATTTAGTGTTTTAGTAAATTTTACAGTGTCGAAAATTATTAAATGAAAATATCAATTATTTTTATGCAATTATCACACCAACAATATTGAACGATCTGACTTGATAAATAAATAAATCGTTCCGAAATCAGAAGTACATACCAAAACCATGTTTATATGTGGTCGTAAGTTCTTAATATTTGTTGTCGATCTAGTATAGTATTGTAATAAATAAATTTACTGACTTTTAATATTTGTGAATAAACAGAAAATATTACATCACAACAAAAAAAAATAATTTGTGGAAATTTCACTATTAAAATCTACTGTCTAATCCTTTTTGTGAATATAAAATGATATTCATTTGTATTTACAAAATTCAAAGCTGAAAAAAAAATAACTCGCACATAAATCAGTCGTATGCAGTGTTACGCACCGCTCGGTAGTGGTCATTTAAAAACAATCCGGCGGGGTTGCCTCGCGAGTAACTGTTTATGGAGTTGCCGCCAAACCGGGCGCTAAGTGAAAAAAAACGAACCCCGAGAGAGGACGACGCGGGCCGCAAAAACCTACGCGCGGCACTACCGCCGTAGTACATGCCTGCGATACTACGCGGCTCTCCGCTTCCACTCAACGTCTCGCTCGCAACGACTTTTTTGTTCCGTTTGTTTGTCAATACAATAAAGAGCTTACGAAAGCTTTTGTTGATAACTAAAATTGTTGCATATTTAATAATTTATGTTTTGTTAAGTACGTTATTAGTAGTACTAAATTGTATTTGTTATTAGAGTAAAGTTAACTTCAAATGTAAGCCGTAAGATATGTTTGAGTTTGTGAAATTAAAAAAAATTAAATTCTTTAAATAAATTTGACCTCCAGGCGAACGAATTAGTAACAGATTCAATGATAACCGAATATCTATCTTATCTTACTTATTATAAATGTTAAAGTTTAGATGGATGGATCGATGCATGTTTGTTAGAGTTTGTAGCCTAAACTACTGAACGAATCTGTATGAAATTAGGCATAGACGTAGAGGATATACTCGAAAATCATATAGGCTTTCCAGTTTTGTTGCAGTCGAAACCTGGTATGACAATAAAGTTAAATTAAAAGCGAATAATAATAAAGATTTACAAATGCGGTGTTGATGAATTTTATTTAAAGAATTTGCCGGAACGTTTCACATGAAATCTATCAAAGCGACTGTTTTAAATTAGGTAAACAGAGATCATCGCAAGGTCAATAAACTCACACGTTTATGTCAAAATAAACTGATAATGTATTCTGTAGCGACGTTTATTTACAGTAATTAATGCAGCTAACGTTTTGCCAATACGTGAGAGAAAATGTTCTTGGGATTTGGCATGAAAAATATTAATTCAGCGACGGGTGATTTCGGAGAAATGTGTGATGAGTCACTCCTACACACGGACTTTTTTTACGTGTAACAGCTGGGACAAGTGTACTCATAGACTTATTTATTTTAAGCAAACGTATCTTATTCAGGGGTGGCGAACATTTTTGTATAACTGTAATATAAAATCGATTTATCATTTATCTCGGAAAGTAAATTTATAGTATTTAAATGTCTTATGATTTTAAGAAAAGCGGAAAATGCGTGAGATGGATAAAATGTAACACTATTATCATATTTACGGTATACTCGTATGTGGAGTGAAATAGGGAGATTATGCTTACATTTTTTTGTTTTACAGAAAAAGGGCAAACGCCTAAAGTTATTTGATCCGACGCCCATGGACATCCACAACGCCAAGTAAACCGCAAATAAGTTGCAAATCTTTAAGGAAGGCATTTTAGTATCCATGTCGATTACAACCATAAAGTATTTGATAAGAGCTCTCAAAGAATCACATCATGCGTCGTCACCGCGGTGTCTTGGCCGACGTCCAGTCTCACCTGACGCTCCCATTTCGTTTCCGTTCAGGATGCGTTCACACTCATACTATTTATAGGGTGCAAAGCAAATGATCATAACAAATCAGTTAAAAAGAATGTCGGTGCTACGAAATTCTATGAACTTTATATAACATGACAAGGAGAATCACCTTGTGTTATTGCACAATAAGGAATAACATGACATCATCTTGTTGCAATATTTTTGAACCTACGAGAACATTGCATTGTAAGTAAAGTATTTTACTTCTATAAGAGTATATCTTTCTGTTCAATGTGTTTATGGCAAAAAGATAAGAATAAGCTAGTAGAAATGTTATATAGTGTTTATTTTAGGTTACTTTCCTATTTTGTTAAATTACTCTCTTTAATCATTCCTAGACAGTTTTAAATAGATACGATATTCTAAAAAGACTATCGTATTATTTAAAAAAATGTTCTTAATTTAAAAGATCATTAGTAGATCGTGTACCTATTGTCACCTAGTTGGCCATAAGCGTGCGTACGCCAATCCATTCATATTTCCATCGCTGAGGTCATAACGGCGTAGGCAGAGCTATTGGCAATGATACGACGTGGAATTCAATAGTTCGTTAGAAGTCATGAATGAACTGTAGGCGGTGAGAGCGGAGAAAAGCCACGTGATCTTACCTAGAGATAGTAGTACTACGTGTGCGCGCGTGCTTCTAAACTTTCCGATATTACTATAGTTAAGGAGGATCATCTCTACCTATTTAGTATTAGTCTAAGCTGTGCTCGTGGGTGTTTCGGTCTTGAGATGGAGGAAAGCACAAACAATAACCTAGAAGTGTGCAACAAATAGATTGTTTTGTTCCCTTGAGTATATTTTATAAATGAGCTGTTGAAAGAAGAGGAAAACGCAACTATACATCTCGATGTTAATTGTTTACTCCGATTTATCAGTGATTTAAACAATTATTTGAATCTAACGTAATTGTAACAGGTTACAAAGTGTCTTGCATAGAAACATTTGACACCCATAAAAGGTTTTTTTTTAAGTTGCTTTAAATACTGTAAGAATAAAGAATCTCTTCATTTTGTGATGTTTGTAGTTATAAAGAATTGTTTTTACAACAAAACGGTTATAATATACAAATATCGTTTACCACACATCTTAATTCCGGCACTAAAAAACAGAATGAACGAACCCGCATAAATTATAGACACGACTTTTTCTAACAGAAACCGAGCCAATTTTTTTGGTGTCCAAGCGACTGTCTCCCTTTTAGATAATACTCGTAGTCTATTCCTGTCCGTACATATGTTATTCGTCCGTTGAAATAATAAGGCCATTGGCCTAATGACAGCTGGATATTTTTAGTAAGCGACTTTCGGAGTCGTCCCGTCCTAAGTGTAAGGTAAGATATCGTAAGGGACTCTCGCTGTTTATATATGTTACCCTCTAAATCTTGGACGTATTTATCTTTTCAAACATTTGGCAAACGAATCCCGTTTTGCGATTAAACAGATGTCATGTCTTTTAGTAGACAATTAAAGATTTGAGATCAGATTTTCCGATTTTAAAATTGCTATATTGTCTCAATTTTTTTTTAGTTTTTTATAGATGTTTGCTCTAATGAATAATATAATGTGTTGGTTGTCCGCAGGCAGTCCTGCAAGGGTGGAGGCGATGTCAGATGTGCGAGTGACGCGTGGTGGGAGGGTGCGTGTGGAGTGTCGCGCCAGTGGTCGACCGCCGCCACGCATCTCTTGGTACAAAGATGGCAAGCCAGTCGCAGATATCGCGCTCAGAAGATTCCGGGTGCAGAACTACAGGTCAGATAAATAACAAAGGCATATTAACAATCGACAATTCTGGTAGAAGAGTACTGTAGTTGCTGAAATGTTAAATTAAATTCCGAATCTTTTAAGTTACGAATAAACTTTCACCGACTAAGCGAGTGATACATAAATAGAGGTAAATAACATAATTCGATTCTCTAAATATTTTCGCCAATTTTGCATGTAAAAGCTACTTCATCTTTTCTGAAATATCAAGTGGAGAAAACAAAAAAATCATGTGACATTAGTTCAATTCTAATAACCTAATTGTTCGTAAAGGTGTTGATCTTGAATAGTAATAACAACCTACATTCGCTACACACATATGTTGCTTACATTACAAGCAATAAACAATTAACCAAACAAACCGATCGTAAGTTCAGACTCCTGCGAACGACCTGAGGTATGTCAGTTTGCCGTGTCATCCAATGCTACATGATTTTGAATCTTATTACTTATAACACATGAATCAAAAAGATACAATCGCGTTGAGCAATTAGTGTGAAGTGATCCAGACAGTAGTGTCACGGGTCGCTGATTGCGGGAGCACTAAATATACTAGCCCAAGTTGAAGCGAAATACGAACTTTGACTAGCCTTCAGTTCAATCACCTCGGTATATAATTGTTTTAACGATGATATATAAAATCATTCAAGGCTGCTACTGATATAGACTCTAGACTTTATATCCATTAAAAAAGTCCATCGTGCGAGTTTAAGACGGCCAATAAAGTTGGAACGATTAATGTCGAGTTAAAATATGAATTGCTAAGTATACATTTCATTTGTAAATTGTATGAGTTAAGTTTTTTCAGTGCCTTTTACAATTAAGTTGTATTTTGTCTTTTTAATATTAATATTTCATTTTAAGGGACACTATTTAATATGAAATTGACGCAATTTTATGTTATAAAGTTAATTTCTAGCCCGTTGAAGTAGCTTCTTACTACGATTGTAGATAAATTTTGTTTGGTAAAATTTATGACCCAATGTCTACGCAATGTTACGCTGTTTAAACTTCTTATTTTTATAGATATAAAATTAAAATGTAGTGCTTACATTAAAGGAATATTTAACAAAAACTTCTAATTTAAATAGTGTAAAATAATTAAAACGTTTAAACTTACTTTGAACCGGTACCTACCTAATATTTTGTTCGTAAGTTTTCCGTTTTTTATAGTAATGAAATGTTTTACGGGGGACAATTTAAGAGTCGTTATTTATAAAAATAGTAATTCAGTAGGTAACTGTTTATCTCATGGCATATCTAGGTATAACTACTCTATATGAATAAAGTCAAAGAAGTTTTAATTATTTATCTACATTTTTTTTTCCATACAAAGTGATTGCAATTTGAATTAAACAAAACACGGTATATTGTTTAGTGGGCTATTCTATGTCTTTCTAGGATTAAATATTGCTTCGGACCGTAAGTAAACATTGATACCGCGGTTTGTCTGCGCGATGTCCGCAGACGAGACGACAGACGTCGGGAATCCGTTTCTGAGGAGCGGCTGGCATTTTCCAGAAATATATGTCTATACTTAGGAGAGAGGGGCTTTGTTAACTTACGCCCTCCAACTAAAGTTACGTCTTTATGAGATACTACTCGAATATAGAAAGAACATTGCTATGCAAAGAATTAAAGTTTGTTACGTCAAAAGTGTTGCCATTAACACTTTTAAACTCACTTGAGGCGTTCCGTTTGCTAGAATTATCTGTTAGAATGTCTTTAGTAGGCTTTACGTTATTCATGTTTAAAATTATCGATGTTTACAATTAATTGTCCATATCGACAATTATTATTATTTCAAAATCTTTATAACAACTTTTGGCACAATACAAGACTTTTATTAATGTCTTTTTAAATAAAATTTAAGTGTAGTCGATGACTGCAACAAGCAGATGCAATTTATTGTTTAGGGTTATTGTCCATTACAGCCATGTTGATAGATGTAGACATTTATGCGAGCTTATTTGTTAGTCACCGCCCCCGCGTGTCCTCCGCCCCCTCTCAACACACATTTAGTCATTTACTGCGTGCGTAAGATGCTGATTAATTTACTTAGTATTTAAGTATTTAAAAATAAACTAATGCATTACAATTTTATATGTAAACTAGCTGTCGCCTGCGACTTTATACGCGTGGAGTTAAAATATAAAAGTATGTTCCCTTCGTTCTTCTAGATTATGCTCTACATTCATGAAAAATTACATTGAGATCCTTTCAGCAGTTTAGGCTATAAACTCTAACAACAATCCATCTAAACGTTCGTATTTATAGTATGAGTAAAATTGTTAAAAACATTTGCATTTCCTGTGATAAATTAATGATGTACCTTATTCCCGATTCCTAGTGGAAGCGAAGGTATCATATTTTGTTTTAATCCTCTTTCAATTAAAAACAAGCAACGCTGGATGCTTTTTCACGTCTTATCAGTGTTTTGTTTTATTATAACTCATTTATAACATTTGTTCCACGTTGCAGAAGGCGCTCGGTGCTGGTGATCCGGCACGCGCGGAAGGAGGACGCGGCGCGGTATGAGTGCCGGGCGCAGGGCGCGACGGGTCCACCCGCTGTCGCGAGTGCTAATGTCACTGTACTGCTCCCTGCCGCCGCGCCACCCGACACCGGTCAGTACTTTTTACATCGTGGACATAGCCCCTTTGGTTAAACTTTTGTTATACCAGATCGAATCAGTTCCTTACCTCAATTGCAATCATCTCTATAGGGATGGGGTTATGCAATAATGGAGATAGCGTCATATTTTGTAATTTCTCTAGGTTGTTTGAAATCGAATCGATATTTTTTTACATTACGAAGATTGGCAGCGATTGAATTATGTCGTTCCATAATAGCATGTGATCCAAATGACTATTTACTTAAGGCAACGTTCCGTCCAGTCTGGATCGGTTATGGTGCGCATTTTACAACGAGATACACATCGTATGCACGCGTGCGTGTTTGTAATGTATGTAGGCCGTACGCTCAGATACCAACTTGTATGTTAAATGTAATGTTCCTGATTGTAATACTAATTTTATCTTCAATATCAATTTTCATGTTACTGGTAATTATGCATACTTCCAATGGATAAATTACAGCGTAGGTTAAAATATTTTGAGGAGATTGTAGTAATGCGATAACTTTCTATTAGGGATTTTTATTGATTTTCCTTTCCCTTATGACAAAAAAGTCTGTTCTCGTGTTCTGTCCGAGACAAAGCCAAGCAGGTAGAGCATTTAGTTAAAAATCTATCACATTGTACATTGAAAATCATTCGCGTATTCCATCAGTTGTTTACCGATGCTCGACATCGGTACATTTACCGCGAACACATATGGGAAACAGTTACAGTAGATTCCATGAATCTCTAACAATGCTATTATGAAGGCCAATAGAATGATCAGTTACCTTTAATGAATAATAAAACCGGTAACCGATTCCTAATGGGATCTGCATTGTTGCGACTTTAACACGGGACACTTGTTGCGACTTCCTTGGAATCGATTGCAATGGGGGTAACTGCTTACATAAGAACCCGATGGCATTGTTACTGGGACAAATATGCTACAAGTGACTAGAGTACCACAGTCATATTCACAATATTTGCCAATTAAATTTTAACACAAAGATTTATTTTCCTCTTTACTGAAGCGATGGTTAATCTGAAAGTTATAGCGATGTAATTCCACGGACACGTAAAGCATTTTTTTTTTATTTATGTCTATATTGATAACATAATAGTAATTATTATTAATGTTGTATTGCAGCGTCGCTGGGCGCGCCGTGTCCAATGCCGGACCCGGCTTCGTACTGCCTCAACGGGGGTACATGTTTATACTTCGAATTAGTTCAAGAGCAAGCTTGCAAGTGAGTTTCCACTCTACCTTTATCTAAATAAAATATCTTTTGAAATTTTTTAATTCTTGGTGACTAGTAATGAACCACCAAATCAGTGGTATTTCTTATGTGTTATTACATCCCACGTATAATAATGTATGTATTCCAGGTGTCCAGAAGGATTCAACGGGCAACGCTGCGAGAACAAGGACGTGTCGAACAGGAGCAGTATGTCTCATTCCTACACATGCAAACTGGGCCTTTCCACGTCCTACTACTGCTAGCGCACGCCGCGCCGCGCCGCGCTGCGCCCGCGACGCTTAGCCCACCTCGTTCCAATTTTATATTTAAAAATTTAGATCGCAACATCTCGCACCAAACGCACCAAATGTCCGCCAGATAGACGATATAGTTGCGTTCCGGATTCGTGTTTGTTATTGGGGTTTTGGTTCAACTAAATAACAAATCTATTTGTTACAATTGGAATTGATAAGTCAAAATACAGTAATTACTAAGTATGTTAGTTAAATGAACTAAAGTGGTACAAAATAAAAGATTAATATAACGATAAGATTACATAATGAATTAAGGCTTCCGACAGACTATATAAAGTTTTCAAATTCTTTTAAAACATAAATTAAATCATATAGATCTTGCATAACTAGAAATCAAAACCCCAGTAACAAATTAATCTGGTTAACTACATTTTTTAATCACGCGTACATATTTGAGAATAGGACGTACTTAAAATTTGGTTTTATATTAGGATATATATTCGATATAATAGCAAAATGACATTTTAATTGTTAAGGCAATCAAGAAAAATGGCGTTAACAGTGTTTAATATAACAGCCAAACATTACCTTTTCAAGGTGAAAAATGTATTTGTTAGGAAACTCATGTCTCTCCTGTTTGTGAGATTACAATGTAGTTTCAATTTACGCAATTATTGTGATCATTATTGGTTGTTTACATAAAAGGTACTCACGAAAAAAAATATATATTAAAGACTTCTATTTTTGATTCAAATCAAGGAAATAAATATTTAATTAACGAATTCGATTCGAATAAGGAAAATTATAAATCATTTAAAATTTCTATAAATATTCTTTTAGTTAATCAGTTTAAGAACGAAGACCTTATTATGGCGTCCTATGTTTAAAGTTGTAAATATTTTACACTGTATTTTGTAATTTTGCGATTTATTTTATTGTTATTAACTCGTTAAGGTTTGATAACTCGTTTTAGTGGGTAAAATCCTGATGAAGAGACTTGCAAGTTTTGTACATATCTATATAGGATAAGTAAGATTTTTTTATTCAAAAACAATACAATATTCACATTTTGACCCGACTCGCCGCGCACTTGTTTAACTTTTAGCGGCAAAATTGACAAGATTAATTTTACTTTATTTTGACAGTTGTCAGTGTTACCTGTTATGAAATTAAAATATAAACATTTTAAAAGTAGCTTAAAATCGTTCTTATAAAGTGCCTTAAACATTTATAAATACGAGTAACATTTAACAATTCTTCACAAATTAGAAACATTTTATACAACAGGCGCGTGGCGGGATTTTCCAAATATTTAAATCTAAAAACATTTCACAAATTATTTCGAAAATCCGATATACTCCACCTAGTCAAAGAGCAGTTTTAATACTTAAAAAACTAGTTAGGCTTATATTAATTAATTTATATAATTTAATGAGTGTGGCTAATAGGATGAGTGGCTGGTTGTTGATGTAGCGAAATCTTTTTTTCTATTTGCGTTCGGAAATAGATAATTATTATTGATTATAACGTTTATAACGTTATGAAATATCGCTGAAGAATTCAATGAAATTATATCTAAACTATCTAACATGATTTTAGTACAATGCATATTTACGAAATATCCAAAGCTGTCCAGTTTATCAACACAATCAGAATTTATGACATTGTCTTCTTGTATAAAGAACTCTTATATTTTAAGTTCATTATTTATATGTAATTAATTAGAAAAAGGGACTATTTATTTTACACTATTTGATACTAGGGCATTATCAAGGTGGAATGACGTCTGGTATTATTTAAATGTATTTTTAATTTTCCAGAAAATGTGTGATTCTACTTATTAGTTAGAAAATTAAAATGTACACTACAGAACTAAAACAGTAATATTTTATTTGCCTATTCAATGACGTCGTTGCATCTTTTCTAGAGTTTTTGTATTCTCACAACAAATATTAAGCCGGCAAACATGTTACATTGTAATACCAAATCACAATAAAAGAATGAGTGTTGGAATTAACAGAGAGGCAATAATTTTAATTTGTTTTTTTTCTTTCGTACAATATCCTTCCCTTGGCACGAAATGAGAACAAAATGTGGTGGAATGAAGTTAATGGTATGTATATCAAAATTAAATTTTTATTGTCGTGCACAATGCCATCCACTCAGCACTCATCATTGCATAGAAATGAAAAAATGTCCACTCTGGCACTGTTCACTAATCTATTTATTCTACATTTTTTCATTTACCATTGTCCAGTCACTAATGCTTGATCATTGTTACTAATGTATAGATGTAGCATGCTAGTTGCATGTCTATTTTCATTTTATTCATAAAAACTTAGTATTTGTTGTGAGATAACAATAACTAAGCCGATTCGTAACATAGCATGTTGGCATCTTTATATGTATACTCTTTTCCAATTCAAGACCTAAATATTGTACACATTATATCGGACCTTATGTTATATTTATATCGGAAATATTATTATTTGTATAAATTGCGTTTTAAATTGTAAAATTTTAATAATTTTACGAATTACAGCTTAAAAGGTATACAGAGTTTAGGTCTTGTTTTAGGATAGAGAATACATATGTCCAGTGTAGACTTAGTAGACAGTGTAGATATCTTTTAGGTATGTTTCACTTTTAAATATAAAATACATGTTTTTATTTCTAGGTATGGGGGAACGTCTATGGTGAAATAATGTGGATTTGACTCAATATGAAGACTTGCTCATCATACTATCGTAATCAAGCATTCCTGCGTATAAAATACATATATTATGCCAACTTACTAAATACGACTTTCTGATGTTTAATATTACATTAAATTATTTTTGTCAATTTTGTATGTACGATTACGGAATTAACCAAATCTTTTTGAATGCTACGAAATCCTATAACACTGTATAATTTTTCTTTTAAGTACTGAAATATGTAATTTTCGACCTACTTACTTTAATATTACTTTTAAAGTAATGCAATTACTGATTTTATAAAGTCAAATTTAAAATTAATTTTAAAATTAATGGACCACCGCTTTATAACTTAACGATTTTTTTTTCAATTTCATATGTCGTGACGTGGTATTTAGAAAATTATACTCTGGGCTTGAATAATAAACAATACATTTGCAAATGACCAATTAACATTTACAAAAGTTATATTATATACAATTGTATTAGAGACCAAGTTAATTAGTAAATGTTCTTACTATTTTCGAATGGTTTTTATCAACACGAGATACGAATTAAAAATATATGTATAATTCGTTCACGCTTTGCAATGTTCGCGAACACATTTTAGTTCTACGTTTGTTATCTTTACTGTCTCTGAGTGAGAAAATGTTAAGTTGTATTAACAATTTTGTACAGTATTATTTGCTAAATAGAAATTATTTATTGTAGCTTTTAAATCGTCATAAGTGCTTTGTTATTTTAATAAACTGTAATAAAATGACGTTGTTTTTTTTTCTGTGACATCTATCTTTCTATTGACTTTTTTTTTCTATTGAAATTTTTTTTTCGCATTAAAGTGTTTCCATTATAAAAAAATGAAATTATAATAATTTATGATTCCATGTTTCATAAATCAAAGTCGCGGTTAAAGGATATATATTAAAAATTACAAAAACACCAAATTAAGTCCAAATTATTTATTAAATATCAACTAGAAAAGATTATTAGAATATATTTACAACTTAAAATTAAAATGTTTAGCTTAAATACTTAATTTTAATGGGAAATACTTTACTCAAAAACATCAAAATATTTTTATAATCACTAAATCATAAAAAAATAGTTAGATTGTTGTCATGATTTTTCTGAATGTTAACTGACAATCTATCTTTGGTACTAAAATAATAAAAAAAGCCTTGTCAATTACAATATATCCTTGAAACAATCACTACCAGCCTTATAAATAAACGCGGTACAAATTAAACTTAGGAATAAACCAAGTATAAGCAAACATTAGTAAAAATTTTGCTTATACTCAATTTATTACTAAAGCTGTAAATGTTTAGTTTATAGCAGCAATGTTCACTCAAAAGATTGGTTGAGTTTGGTATCTACACTTACATATCACTGTTAGAGCACACGCACACCTTTGACTAAACTATCGCACAACTGTTTAGTCGCGCATTGATTCCAATGCTTATACAGAGGTGCGATCACTACTAGATTTTTAGTTGTGCAACTATATAGTTGAATTGGCACCGACACAATCGACAATCGCAAACTGTTTTGCGATAGTTTAGTCAAACGTGTGCGCCCGCTCTTAAAGTGGTGTATAAAAAATTGTTGCTTACAAATACTTCAAAAACTGATTATGTGGGAAATATAACATAACAACTGCAAAACAATCATAAAATAAGGAATTATCTGAAGTAAATTTACTTTACTTTCAAACATTTCTATGCTAATGTTGTAAAAGTGGAAAGAATTCAATTTTTGTATGTAACAAATAAACTAGAAAACTATTGAACAAATTTCAATAATTATTCTGCCATTAAAACCTATAATATCACTGAGCAACAAGCTATAATTAATAGTAGATTTTTATTTCAATTCACACAGACAAAGTCACGGAGAGAAGCTAGTTTCGACTAAGACATAATTCGAACTGTACTATTCAACCTTTTGAGTTATTTTTTAAAATTAATTCCTTAAACTTCTATTTAATCCATTAATTTATAAGTGACAACTGTATCCATCTTGTGAAGGTTGGTCGAGAATGACTTGAGTTGAACATTCTGAGCATTGGATATAGTTATAGGCGCAGCTTCCATCCATTTTTCAGGTATATTACACTCCGAGTTAGCATGAATATAAATATCAAAAGAACACCTACAGTCTAACAATGGTAAGTAAGAAATTGTTGCTGCCACTTGTAACATAACATCTCTTATTTCAAGCTGTATTTTCTTCAAATCCTTGCTGCTTACTTTCTCATTTTTCTCCTTTGATAACACAAGATCCCCTTCTTCATACTGAACATTGAAATCCCAACATTCCAGGACCTCTTTATTTGAAACATTGATTATAACAAGTGAAAGCTTTTTGACCTCCTTTTGGAGAATCCATTCTGAAAATAAAATAATGAAAAGAATTTAATACTATAGTAGTTTTCTTAATACTTTGATGTGAGGTACTATGCAGAAAACAATCTATGTGTATTGAGGCATATCAGGATGTAGGTGAAGGGTTATGCACAGCATGCCTATTATCTTGAGCCGCTAATATATTTAAAAAGAATACAAATCAGCCAGAAAGATTTAGCTAACTTTTTTCCTATATTAGATATGGTATTTGATTTTATGAGTTAAATATTTTTATTTTTACCTTCACTCTTTCTTAAGATGTCCGAAATAAAGCCTTTGATAAGTGGATCCTCAGATATAAGTAATGTTAAGCCATACTCTTGTTCTGCTTTAAATGACTCCGGCGGGTACAGGCCTCTTTGGAACAAAACCGAATTGATGGCAAACCCTGAAATTAAAAGGAACCATTTTAAATTTAAATTTCATATTACTTTTTGAACTGTTTAAAACTTAGTGCAGATTTTTACCTACCGTAACTTGAAAAAGTACTGTTCTGTATGTGCATATTATCGTTATTTTTTTAATGTTATTAATTAGCTTAAAAAATATTAGTTTTAACAGACTTCCAGTATGATCAAAATACACAGGTTCTTGCAACTTTTTTGAAATACAATTTAAATTTTATAATAATTTATTGACAAAAACAGAAACTGTCTCAGTTTAAAAACAATAAAGTTTCTACTTACTTAGATACTCGCAAATAATTTGGGCAGATCCTTTTAGTGTAATACTATTCTTCGTTTGTTGCTGAGACATTGCAGTAAAATACACTGGGTTCCTTTAATGAATTTACAACTTCAAACACACCAAAACACTTAAGAATTTTCGAAAATTCGAACTCCAATTCGTTAAGAAACGTTATTTTCAAACATGAACAAACTTGATTCAAAATGTCAAAGACTAGCTGCTTCACTTAAAGTTGCAGACCGTACACAAAGAGCTAAATAAATGAGATTGTGAGAACATGTTTAAGGTAAGGCTCGTGTCTAGGTTTTTAAATTGAGCGAATGAATTCAAAAGAATGATACGTTTAGGATGTTTTTTTTAAAGTTTAAATAAATCTTTTTTTTTATTAAGTATAAATAGAACGACAATGGTAAAAAAAAATGGCAACTCCATTAGAGTTCAGTCTGTTTGACAGACATTTTGGGTTAATGTCAAACAGCTTTATAAATAAATAAATAATATCTTCTAACCTAAATAAGGTTATAATTTTAAGTTTTTGATATAAATCTATTAAACGAAATCTTACATTAATTTTAAAAGGATAAACAAGTTGGCACTAGAATATTGAAGTAAAGAAACAGTACTTCTAGAACACATTGTCGATTAATCGTTGGGAAAAATGTACACAATGTTTAATTAAAGTAACATGGGCCGAACTAAACGAAAAAGAAAGTTGAAGAAAGATCCCGATTATTGCAAATATAACAATAGCAAGGAATTGATATCATTGAACTCTTGGCTAATAAAACATGGTGTAAAGCGGAATAAGAAGTTGGACTTGGCTGTTTTTAAGGATACTGGACGCGGAGTGCTCACCAAAAAGAAGATTTGTGCCGGAGATGAACTAATTAATCTTCCTTTAAACTTGACTATTAATGTTACAACATTGGTAATAGATAAGATCTTTTGTAGTATATTTTTAGACAATAAGAAACAATGTTGCGTAGAATACAGTCGAGCGATATCATTCCAGGCATTAATGTCCTTTTATCTAGTCTACCTAAAACTACAAGGTACAGAATCAAAATGGTATATTTACTTAGAGAACTTGCCTACAAGTTACACAGTTCCTTATTTTTTACCAAATGAAATGCTATCATATATTGATAAAGATATAATATCTGTGATTCTAAAACAGAAAGAAGTCATTGAAAAATCTTTCATTATTTTTGAGGAAATTTTAAACAACACCACTAGTAATAATATAATAATAGATAAATTAAAGAAGTATTTTAGTAAGTCTGTATTTGAATGGGCCTATTTCACAGTGAACACACGCTGTGTTTTTATGGATTTGACTAATGTTATTGATTTACAAGATATCAAATGTTCAATTATAGCAATGGTTAGTGATAATACAAAAATATCTCTGTGTCCATATTTAGATATGATAAACCACAGCCCAAATGCAAAGAATGAAACTAAATTAGTAGTAAGTAGGAATATAAAAAATGTTTCAGTGAACAATATACATGAAGATATATTTACAAATGTACAATTTTCTATTTATACAAAAAATGACTTTAAACCCCATTCACAAGTATTTATTTGCTATGGGGACAGCCATAACTTGAAATTAATAACTGAATATGGTTTTTACATAGCGGCCAATGAACTGGATTGTGTCAATTTTAGCTTTGATCATATAAAAACGTTTCTAAATTCTAAAACAATTGACTTTTCCCAAGATCAGTTAAAATTTATTAGTAACCACAATTTGAATAAAGCTCTATACATTGACTTGAGAGGGCTCAGTTTCAATTTCTATGGCTTGTTAATGGTTGCTAAATATTATTATAAGGAAAACACTGATGTAAGTAGGTTGATCTATTCTGCTGCCATTTGTTCTGACGATAGACTGCTTATAGATTTAATTATACCTATGATCAAAGAGAAACTGGTTGAAATAAAATGTTCAATTAATAAATTAAATAGCTATAATTGTGACTGTGTTACTTTAAATAACTGTGTAGAACTTATGTGTCAATATGTCATGATATTAGAGAAGTTTATTAAATGTTAGATGAAAATAACTCTTTCTTTTTTCTTCCACTTCGTCGTCAAATATTGCTGTTATCCGTGTTTTCCAGCACCATTTTTCCTCCCTGTAGGTCTGGCTTTAGATTGTGATGGGAAGCTAGATAGCTGTAGTCTGAAGATATAGTGACTGAAATGCTCCTTTAATTAAATTAAAAAAGCTAGATGCAAATGGCAATTGTTGGATGTTCATTTAAGTATTTCGTAGTAGTTTTATAAGATTGAATTAAGGCATAAATGCAAAATACGAAGAAGATTCGCGTTTCATAAGTATATTTTATGTTGACAACACTGTTAGATTTTTATTCTAGGATGACATTGACTTACAGAAGTGACATTAGTTTGTCACTCTACGACCATGGCGGCGGCACTGCTGTCAAATAGGAAATTTGATAAATTCATTCAAAATCATATAAAACTTACTAGATCCCTCTGTAATATTAAATCAGTAGTATTAAATAAACCACAATTTAGTATAATATGTAAACAATGTGCTTCTGCTAGTTATTATAGGGTAGGTTATGTATACAAAGTACCACTGTTTTCAAAAAAATTACGTCTTGTTTTTATATTGTATCATCTATCTGGTTATCGAAAAAATTATTTTACATTTCAGTACTATTCATCATCTCCAAACAATGCGGCTGGATCCGATACTGCAAAAAATGTTTTGGCGGCCGTGCTGGCAAATAAGCCAAAAAGTGGAAAAATCCCAGTTGGTGAGTTATAAAAGCCAAGAGTTAACAATTTTATATTGAAATTTCTTGTTTTTGTTTTACAATCAATTGTGAAATCTACAAGGTTGCGTAATCTTAACTTGACCTTGTACTGTTGAGCTATAAATATGGTACTAATAAAAAGTTCATGTATTTTGTGTACTTCAAAAATATTTGCGTATACTATGATAATTTTATAAGGTGTTTCATGACACTTAACAAAAACATGTTCATTATCAATGTAACATAACATAATTTGCATTAAAATTGTCATGTTTTAAATTTAAAGAATAAAAGATTTGTCAGCTATATAGTAGCTTTCTTCTGCAATGAATTTAGCTCTTAAATATTACATTTTCATGAAAGCAAAAGCACAACCTTATGGGTTATTTTAATTACAGTTACTAAAAAAAAGATTAAAGATGTTTTTCATATTATGTATTTTGTTTTAATTTCTTTTAGAAAGTGTTACTTTAAATCACTAGATTGTTTTTTAAAATAATTTCATACACATATGTAATTTATATTACTTCTGTAGTTAGTACTATTGTTTTAAAGTCTAACACTGCTTAAAATCGTTCCTTTGCATTATGTTTTTGAACTTGTTTTAATACTTGTTATATTCACAGCTATGCCATTTCACATTTATGTTAATACTTGGTTGGAATGCAGCTCTTTTCATCCTTCCCATGTTATCCCTGTTTGTTTTGTCCGCTTGCTTCCATATTCCATTTATTAAGTTACCTTTATCCTAAAAGAGTCCTGATATGATATCCCATCCCTAGGTATCCAAAAGAGAGACTGCTTTCACCCAGGTGCCTCTGTTTTGTCCCGTGAAGATATTAACTTGGGTGATGCGAAACCTGTTTCCGGAATGGACATGATACGGGGCATGATGGAATATGTATGGCCAAAGGTGAGTTTATGACAAACTAATTTTAACATAATATATGTTATATTTCTGTTTTAAAATTACTGTGTGATTTCTTGTTTTTTGTCATATGGATGGATGCGTATTTTGCAGGATAATGCGATGATCAGAAATCGTGTGATGCTGTCTCTCTCCCTCCTGTTTGGTGCGAAGATGATGAATGTCACCGTCCCCTTCTTATTCAAGTATGCAGTGGATGAGGTGAACCACGTAGCCACAACGCCCGCCGGCGACGCGTTGTTGGGAATGGCGACCGTACCTCAAGCTCTTGGCACAACAGCATTTAGTTTATTGGTTGGATGTATGTATTTTTATAATTAATATCAGTGATATTATAAGCAGAGAAACATATAATTTTTGTATGTTCTGACTGAAAAACGACATGGCCAATTTTTTAAAATTTGTTACCAATAGAATATTTTTCACGTCTTATTTTTTGTTTTGTACATATTTACTTTGTCGATTAGTTAACTATAAATATAGGTATATAGCTTTCACCTGCGACTCCGTTCGTGTGGAATAAAAAAACCCAAAAGTTAGCCTATGTGTTTTACCAGAATATCTTCAAAAACAAAGATTCATTCAACAGTTAGGCTACACAGACTTTCCCATTTATATATAAGTAAGATATACAAGCGTGTACTATCAGACGGCATCGCGCGCGCCACCGCGGCCGGCTTCAACGAGCTGCGCAACGCCGTGTTCGCGCGCGTGGCGCAGCACTCCATCCGGCGGCTGGCCTGCAACGTCTTCACGCACCTGCACAGCCTCGACCTCAGCTTCCACCTCGGCCGCCAGACGGGCGCGCTCTCCAAGGTGCGCTGCTTCTGCTACTGCTACACGATACCTGCAGGGAAGGCAGGGTTATATGGGAATTGACCTACTAAAACCCTTCTAGTAGCTTTTCCTTAAGTGATACAAAAGAGGGTTCCACAATCATGCTGATAAAACCTTATCAATCTATACTATTATAATAAAGCGTAAACACACACTTCTTTGTTGCCTAAGATATCAGCAATTACACCATATTTTTGAATAATTCTCAATTAATTACATATAATAAAAAGCCCTACACTTACGTCACGCCTTAGGCTATATATTTTCACGACATAAGACATAGGGGGTACATATTTTGGATAAAACCCTAATGTGGGAGAGAGACCATAAGTTGCTGCCAACATCAAGGAAGCAAGGTTGCCATGGTTTGTCATGTCATGTCATTTTGACATTTGCAATTCAGAATTTGACAAATTTAAACAATAAATCAAAAATTTTTAATTTTATACGTATGAAGCCGCATCGGAACAGCTAGTGATTTATGTTTATCAATATAAAAACTTAGAAAAATGCGTGTTTGTTTTTTGTTAGAAAAATTGTGTATTATTCATTGTTTTATTGATTTTTTTGGATTACCATTTATAATTAACAGGGTGTGTTTCTCACTCAAACTTTTTAAAATTCCTACTTAATGTATCTATGATATCTGCAATAATTGTTATGTGTTTCCAGACTATAGACCGCGGGTCGCGCGCCATCAACTTCGTGTTGTCAGCCATGGTGTTCAACGTGGTGCCCACGATATTCGAGCTCGCCTTAGTCTCCTCGATACTTGGACTTAAAGGAGGCATCGCTTTTGCAGGTTAGTTTTGTTAGATTTCTTTACATAAAAGACAGCCATTTTTCGTAGTTTTGAATTTTGTTCCCTTGCTGCTTAATCCACATATTATATAAAAATAAATGTTTACATTATGTAAAACTTTTTATTTTTAAAAGTCAAAATTCAAAATCTCGATAACTCAAACCTCGGTAACTTCAAAAAACAATATGTTCCCTTCCCATCAGAGCTCAAAACCTTTACAACATAGACCCTTGATAATCTAAAACTATAACTTAAAGTATTTTGTGTTTCCCTTAGACTTTAACTTATCGAGGTTCTACTGTACTTACCCGTTACACGGCAATCGTGATTTATTAAAAAAATAATTATTCAAAAATATACAGTGATTGCTGACATCTTAGGCAACAAAGTGTGTGTTTAGCTTTATTATAACAGTATCTATACTGTTATGTGGGGGTGTGTGCGCGCAGGCGTGGCGTTCAGCTGCGTGGGCGTGTACGCGGCGTTCACGCTGGCGGTGACGCAGTGGCGCACCAAGTTCCGCGTGCACATGAACCGCGCAGAGAACGAGGCCGGCAACAAGGCCGTCGACTCCCTCATCAACTACGAAACTGTTAAAGTACCATCATCAATCTAAACTTATGTTATAAAGAGCATTTTTTTTAATATGAGGTGGCAAAACAGTGTCCCACCACCTGAATTCGCCGAGAAAACAATATTTTACCTTCCTATGCGACTCCTCTACCGTCAAATTCACTTTTCAGTATCTTTTCCGTATAAGAAAATGGGGAAAGGAAAGAGACTAAAGTATTTTTGTATGTATTGAAATAACTCAAAAACTACTAGCATAGTAGATTTCAAAAATTTTTCACCATTATATGCTACATTATCACTGAGGCTATGTTTTTAATTTTTTTTTCGTAAAGTCGCGAGCAACAGCTAGTCACGAATACGAACCATTCGTTCTTTTTTTTTAATTGGAATAATTTTTTATCAAATAGCATATTTCAAAATGATTTATTCTCAAAAAGGCGAAAACTGCACCCATAAGTATCTAAATTGAATGCTTATTAAAAATGTAATTTAAACTGAGAAATACAATATATCACTCATACTCGTTTTGTCTCATTCATTCATTTATCAATTAATCATTATTTTATTAAATAGTATATTTTTAATTTCTAGTACTTTAACAACGAGAAATACGAACTAGAAAAATACGACCAAAGTCTAAAGAAGTACGAGGATGCCTCTCTGAAGACCGCGTCCAGCCTGGCGGCGCTGAACTTCGGCCAGCACGCCATCTTCAGCGGCGGCCTCAGCATCATCATGATCATGGCCGCCAAGGAGATCGCACAAGGTAACATGCATTTTTTATATAATAAAGTGGCATATAAACACATAAATTATTTAAGTAAAATTTAGTTTCATGTCTACTGTAGATGACTCCATAGATAAAATCTTCTTTATCTGCTAACGAGCCGTTCCCGTGCGACTTCATCCGCATTAAATTATAAAAACTTCCATCTTATTGTTTACATTTGTGTAATTCTCAATTACAAATGGAAAAAATCAAATGCACAAATGACAACGAATAATTTTGAATAACAATTACCGTCACCATGGCAATCTTGCTTCTGTATTTTTTTAATGAATACAAATATACAACTGTTTTCAGCGCCATCTATTATCGTTTATCGCTTAATCAATTTGAATCTTAATTCTCAAATCTCTTTGAGATTAGCAGTTCCGGCTACAAACTAACATCCGTCCATCTAAACTTTCCCATTTATAATATTATCTGTATTTAAAATGTTGCAGGTAACATGACGGTGGGCGACCTGGTGATGGTGAACGGGCTGCTGTTCCAGCTGTCCATCCCGCTGGGCTTCCTGGGCTCGGTGTACCGCGAGGTGCGGCAGGCGCTCATCGACATGCAGACCATGTTCACTCTCATGACCGTGCAGTCCAGGATCAAGGTACGGTCGCATGGTCACCACCTCTAGCTGCCTTTCTCCTTCTGCCATACGTGTGGAATTTGTGTGCCGGAGGACTAATTCAGTCCTTTTCCCTTTCCACCCTTCTTATAAGGAATGGACAAGAAGGGAATGTAGATTTGGCAGAGAAATTGTATAGGTAGAGCAGATATCTTCTTTATGCATCTGCAATTTCAGATGTTTGACTAATGGTCGTTTCGTCATTTTACCGCCAGGTGGCCGCTCGTTAATTTGCCTATGATATAACAAAATAGCCTTAAATGTTCAGGAAAAGGCGAAGGCGCCGCTGCTGAACGTGACGGCGCAGACAGCCAGCATAGAGTTCAAGGATGTCAGCTTCAAGTACATCAACGGGAAGCCCATCTTCAACAATCTCAGCTTCTCCATACCGCCCGGCAAGAAGATCGGCATCGTCGGCGGCTCCGGCAGCGGGTCAGCACACCTGTCTCACTCTCACCTACTGCTGTTCATATTTGATGAAAAGAGATAGCATAAGCAATCTGTGCGAATGCGAAAGTAGGCAATGTTGTTGGTGAATGACTGATTGGGAAATCACTTGAATGATTAAGTGAATGAAAAAGGTTGCGATTTGTGCTTTTAATGTGCCCGTTTAGGTTATAGAAGAAATAAGTTTAAAAAGTGTTTTATACTCTAATGGTCATTATTATATCTTTCCATTCATTAAAATAGATCAACAACATAGTATTGAAAGAAATTTTAAACACTGTTTCGTAAGCACCGCTTATAGTATTTTCGAGTTGGATTTTAGAATTTCAAGTGTTGCTTTAACATTTACGGCACTATTACGTATTTAAATAGGTATTTTTTGTAATACCAGTAAATCGACGATGGTGCGGCTGCTGTTCCGGTTCTTCGAGCCGCAGGCGGGGCACATCTCCATCGCGGGACAGAACATCAAGGACCTCGACCTCACCAGCCTTAGAAAAGCCATCGCCATCGTGCCACAGGTAATAATTACGTATTTGATAAAAATGTATGAACATTTATGTGTGAGACTGAATAACAATGCATAAATTTTGTGACTGTTTCAATAGATGGCGTTAATATCGATATTAAGAGTTTGAAACGTGATTAGTTGGTTTTTGGTTATGTCCGTGAGGAATTAAAAAAACAAATAAGTGGGGTGTGGTTTTCTAAAGTTTCTACATCAATAAATAATATAGCCTGTAATTCTTACGGATAAATTACCTTTCTAACGGTGAAAGAATTTTTAAAATCGGCCCAGTAGTTTTTGAATTATTTCAATAGATACAGAAAATTTCTTTTGATAATATTAGTATAGACGTAGATTATTTTTGATTTTACGCGGATGAAGCCCCAAGCAACAGTTTAAACAATAAAGAAAAATATATTATTAGAGGACTAAGTGTCCGAAAAAATGTTCCGCGGCGCGTTCAAAGAGTAACTGACAATTCAAAACTCGGCGTCACCCCAGCGGTCGTGAGTTTCAAATCATTCGGTTATTTTTAGACCAATAACAAGCATCCATGAATTTTGTTGAGCTGATGTAGACAGTGTTACCGTCTAATAATATGTTATGTAATGTTTGTAGGACTGCGTGCTATTCCACGACACCATCTTCCACAACCTGCAGTACGGCGCGCTGTCGCGGCCGCCGCAGGACGTCTACACCGCCAGCAAGATGGCCGAGCTGCACGACTCCGTGCTCACCTGGCCCAAGGTACGCGCCTACCACCTGGCTACCACCTGGGGAACGCTAAAACACTTTCATAATTTCTCTTTAATATATTCACTACACAGAAATGGAATCACCGCACTCATACAATTATAAACACTACACGACTCAAACACAGAGACACTAGTACTAAACATTTTACAATAGAACATTCTCGACGACGCTTCGAATGTTAGAGACATGTTTTGCGAATGTCTTTTCCGTTATTCGCCAACAGATGGCGTTGCAAAAGAACATTTTGGAAATGGCTTCACTATAGGACGGCCGTCAATTTCGTTACTCACTAATAGATTTTAAGACGTTAATTTAGTACGGAAAATATATTAGTGAATTGTTTGACGATTCGATTTAATAATAGACTTACATGGCAGTTGGCATTTTTGTGAGCTAACAATATCTTTAAAGCCTTATGTTTTGACCAAACATCATATTGCTATAGTTTGGTTTTGTTTTTAGAAAGTAGAATTTCTAAGAAGTTGGTAATTTCTTGCTTACTGGTAACTTTAAAAACTAAGTAGGCTTCTTCCTGATAGGCAAAAATTGCCATATCGTCTGAGTAGGGCGATGTTAGGCGCCTTGGTCTTTGAACAGAAACGAGCGTCAGTCAGCTGTCAGTTGTCAGCTGTCGCTGCCAGTCGCAATCGCAAGGCGATGTAGTGTAGCGTGTGTGTGTGTGTGTTGCGTGTGCGCAGGGCTACGAGACGCAGGTGGGCGAGCGCGGGCTGAAGCTGTCGGGCGGCGAGAAGCAGCGCGTGGCGATCGCGCGCGCCATCCTCAAGGACTCGCCCATCATCGTGTTCGACGAGGCCACCTCCAGTCTCGACTCTATCACCGAGCACGTGAGTCTATTTTATAATTAACAGTATAATTGCATGAATATGAGGAATGTCGATCCCACCACTCGACACAATCGAATTGGTTCCTACGAGTATTGTTTAAATGTTAAACTATTTATAACTTTAATATTAGTAAGATTCTAACTAAGTAATGTGTATTGCAGGCGATTCTACAAGCGTTGAAAGCGGCGACTGTGGGTAGAACATCAATCTGCATCGCTCACCGGCTGTCCACCGTGGCTGACGCTGACGAGATCCTGGTGCTGGAAGCTGGAGCCATCACCGACCGCGGCACGCACGACCAGCTGCTGGCGCGCCCCGGCTCGCTGTACCGCCGGCTGTGGGATAAGCAGAACAGGGACAAATGACCTAACACTCACTAATATTGGTTACAGCCTTATTAATAAACACATTTAAGAAATATATAGACTTGATAGTGAACATTTTTTCACTGGTAACTTCTTCGAAAGGTACTATGTTGTCAAGTTTAGTGCCACCTCATGATTGTATTGATATGTTATTAAAACATTTTACAAATGTATAGTAAACTAATAAACCTTTTGTTTTAAAATCACCTAAATATTGTCAGCTTCCTCTATATATTTTTTGAATTTCTGCTTATTAAGGAGAAAATTGTTGTGACGATTTCAATTGAATTCGCCAAATGGTACCCAATGGTTATACCTTTTGTTATACATTCTGTATACGTAAGAACATACTACAAGTTATTTTATTGTTAAATATTGTTTGTTATAATTATTGCTCTCGCTGTCTTCTTAAAGAGACACTTGCATTCTATGGTAAAGATTTTTATCAAAATTGTTATATTTGAAATAAATGTTGTAGTTTAAATTTTATAATTATGACACTGGTTAACTGAAAGATAGTTTTTACTTTTTTAATGACTTGACAAGCAAATAAATAATTGAAATTTGGTTGGTGACACTAGTTAACTAAAATACATACAGTTTTTTTTTCATTGAAATGGAACATGTTCACTATATGATCAAATAAATGTAAATATTATAAAACACCGATGTAATTATTATGTAAAAGATTTCTAAGATCTTATCTACGATCTCAAAGAGTTTTTGAATGTAGTGTCTTAGATATCTAATTTTCTAATTATTTTCTTATTAAATAAATAGAAATTTTATTTGTATATTCATAAGCCGTCGCCAAATCGTAAATCTTAAAATTATCAAAGAACGTCATAAAAACGTTTTTAATTAAGTAATTTTGGACGTGTATTGAATATAAAGATCCCATTAAAATTAAATGTAAAAATTTATAAAGGAAACTTACGTATGTGTAACTTATGTAATGAGTTGCTTTCATGTAAATACACTACGCGAATATGTACAGTTTATTGTATAAATAAGAATATTATTTTGTTTTAATTGATGTTTTATTTACCAACCATACAAGCAAAGCTGACGAAAGGATAGGACGGTTAGACGACCAAGGCGCTAGTAAAATTGAAATATTAAAAAACACCGCTTATCCAAAGCCAAAGATAATCTTTTAATCAAAATGTACCTCATTTAAAAGTAAAACATGAAGATACGGCATACTGCACAATTTTTTTCCTAGCTATTTTCTCTGAAAGGTACTGTCAGGCTACCTCGTGTCCTCGTCTTGATATGTAATAAAACATATTATAAAATTACAATAAGCCTCATCTTAATATTAATATAATAAACTCAATTATACTTTGTTCTTTGGAGAATAGTGTTCCAAAATAAAATATATTGTTTAGTGACATCTATTAACAATTAATTTAACTTATATTGACATGTGGTTTGAGAATCTACCAATAGATGGCGTTAGCAAAAGTATCTGGTAAATTGTCAACTGTGTCTTCTTTATATTTTACTTCTCTCCAAGTTATTTAATCAGCTTGGATTTTATTCACTGCTAAATTGAAAACTTTGTTTATCATATCCACCCCCTAAGACACTGGCTTGATTCATATTTAATTGTGACACTTGTAATCGATTGACACTGCTATCGGTTGCCATGGTAAAGGTTTCTAACGACACTGTCAGATTGTAAAGATATCCAAAATCATCTCCTTTGTGAGCTTTTTCATTTTATATTGAGAATGGGTATAGTTCTGTGATAATAAATAATGTCAGTATTGAGTTTGCTGCCAGAAGATAAACGTAAAGATCTAAGGTATGTTCTATTCACAACATTAGTAAAAAATTGAAGATCCTTATGATGTGAAAATTTTGGATGGTTGGATGGGCAAAGAAGAAAAGTATAGTATCTTTTTCAAACCTTTATTTGTACCTAGTGCTGTCTAGAAATATCACTTAGAACTGTGTTTATAATATAACTCGTAGTTTTATAATTACTTGGTTGATGTTACATCATTTGTCATTTGAACATTCACTATGACACGGCAGGTCATGGATGACTACAAATTCATACGATCGCAAATGTTTTTTGTATTTCCGTTTCTGAACTCCGTTAAGACCAAACCAATCTTTGTCGCCCCCTAAATAAATCCTAAAGTAAATCAACGTATAGTAGTAGGTTTTAAACTTTTTTTTATTTAATAAAGCGCCAGAAAGGAGTCGGTAGCGAGCGTGTACAGCAGTAACTCGCGGCTGAATCTGCTGAGCAAGCGCAAGCGCATGGTGCCGGCGGGCGCGGGGGGCACTATGGGGGGCGCGCCGGGCGACCGCTTCGTCACACAGCGCGTGCTCTCCGCCAAGACGCATCGCGTCAAACAGCTGCAGAACCAACTTGCAGATGCTCATTATCACTTGCAGGTTAGGAAATTGTTCTTTGCCAATGCGTTAAATGTTGGAAAATATTGCTCAAGATCAAATTTATGTTCTCAGGAGCTCAGTAATGAGAATCGAGTTTTGCGAGCTATGCAGAAAAAGCAAGAAATAGCTCTGCAAAGGTAAGTTTACACAAAATACGGCTAGCACGTGTCTAGCTCAATTAGCGACATCATGAAGCTGTAAAAATTATGACAGGCGTTATTAATTCATCATCGATTAGGTACGAGAACTCTAACGCTGAGTTGCCTCAAGTGTTGAACTCGCACACGGAGGAGATGCGCGTGCAGCAGGCGCGCTACAAGCAGCTGCGCGCGCAGCACAAGGAGACCGCCGCCCGGCTCAAGGAGCGCGACGCACAGCTGCAGCAGCTGCGCGACGAACACCAACATCTGCTGGACCTCACTAAAGACAAGTACATCACTACACACGCAACATTAAACTCGTTGAGCCAGATGTTTAATTTGGCTCAGTTACCATTTCACTCGATTAAACCAATTTTTTTTTAAATAAAATGCACCTATTCATAATTTTTCTCCTATAAGAGTGTAAGGAAATCTGTAGGAATCTGTTGGAGCGCGAGAAGCTACAGGCGCAGGTGAACGAGCTGTCGCTGAAGGTTCAGCAGCAAGGCGAGACTATCAGCCTGCTGCAGCGGCGGCTGGCGCTCGAGGCCAAGAACTTCCGGCACCAGCTGCAGTCCGAGCTCAACAAGCACAAAGACACGCGCCACGACCTCGACATGGCCATCAGTAACGCAGACAAGTTGTCTACCATTATTGAGGTCTTACATTCCTATTGGATTTTAAATAGTAAGGTGACATAGATGAAGTGGTCATATGTTAATGTTACTATTTTTCCAATAGATGAAAGAGAAGATGCTCAGTACTGCTGCCAGCCGCGGTGTGAAGTCTCCAGTCAAAAGCAGCTCCTCTATGACCTTGACGCGTCCTCAGAGCAAGACCAATAAGGCTGGCCAGGAATCGAGCTCTTATAGACCAAACGACGAACGTCATAATGTAATTGTCCTTGATTTGTAACATGTCAGTAATCTAAAAATAAGTAACTTAAATTTTTTCACTGATCTTTTTTATACTTACTTCTATTTCATAATATAATTCCCTACAATAATTTAAGCTTAGATTTGCGTTTGTATAATTTATGTTTGCCATAAGCGAGAAACGTTAACGATTGCAGGTTGATCAAAGTGCCCTCGGGAAATTATGCGAGAATTCACGATCCGTTAGCAGCACATTATCCCATGACGATGAAACAAGTTCATCAACTGAGCCTAGGAGCAGATATATTCAAAGCCGCAGTAACTCTACTGGTCCCCGGTCAACACCGAACCCTACTAGGAAGAATTCAAAAAGTCCCGAAGACATTATTGAAATTTCTAAAACGATACAAGATGGTATGGCCGACTTAGCTATCTCAGACGACGATACACTTAGGAATTGCTCACCGGAAGAAATGCAACAGAGAATGGAAATACTTAAAGCGGATCTATTGAAAAAAATTAAAACTAACGAAGAGCCAATTTCGAGAAGAAACAGTGCTTTGAGAAGAAAGTCCACCGAAGAATCAATTGAAGAGCAAATTGAATTGGAAGAAGAACGACCTAAGTCTAGAGGTCGCAAAAATTCTAATGTTTCTTTTTATGACAACGTTACTATCGAAGAGTCTACTAGTATAGTTGTGCACGATTTTGCATCAGGAGATGCGAGTAAAAAAACCAAACGCGAAACTAGTGGGAAGGATAAAAAACCTTTGGCAAAACCAATAGAAACATACTGCAAAGATATCATGCAAGACTTGGAGAAGAGTAGTAAAGTTATAGATAGTCATATCAAACAATTTAACAGTACTAAAATGGAGAGTGATAAATTAGTTGAACAGTTGTTTGCTGTTGATAAAATCAATGATTTAGTTAATTCTGACAGAGAATTACCCGAAGAAACGCTCTCTGAACTGAACAATAACTTTAAATTACTGACAGACCAAGTTTTGTCTGAAGGTGCGCCTGTCGCACGAAAACGATCCCTCGGCGGTCGCAGAAACGCGCGCTTGGAATCTAAAACCAATCTTCTTGGAGACTCTAATATGTCTAATCAAGAACTATTAGATGACTTGCTAGGAAAGAAATGACAAATAGTTCGTGCTTAATGCATGGTTCTAGTTAGTGAGTCGGCAAGTCCTGGCTGGTTTTTATGTAATTTTTAAAATTGACGTGATATATTTATTTGACGTAATCATGGATTTGAATTTATGTATTCGATTAGGTTGGCTGTATGCCGCGTGGTTGTACAGGATTTTTTTGATTTGTATATGATATCAAAATAGAGTCTAAACTAAAATTCACAACCTACGAGCCTCTTTAAATATTATGAAGGTTTGTTGAATTAAAAACCCATGTTTAACGAAAAAGTAAAACAGATTTTTCACTTTTATGGTACAATCGCTTTAGAACTTTACTGTTAGAAATTTGTTAATCAGCAAAGTTAATATTGAGGAATCATTTAGGATAATTACTACATTCGCACAAGAATATCTAAAGCCGATTTTTAGTATCGAATTTTCATAGTATGTGATAATTTTTTGGCCACAAATTTTTACTATAGTCTTGAGCTGTCAAATTGTGTTGGTGTTGATGAAATAAATTTATATTTTGATAGATGTTGTTTCATTTGATTTTATGATTACTTACATGTATTTAAACAAGTAATAAACGATTCAAAAACATATTAATTATTATCCATGAGAGAAATTAGGATGACCTACTTTAGACTATTTTTCGCTGACAAGTGACAAAGATAAATTCACATTTTTTCAATGGGTTAACATGCGTGCTAATTTGGATGTTTTTTTTTTGAGGACAAAAGACTGAAGATTACAATTATTAATAACTTTGAAATCTACACTTTAGGCATAAAATTCAGACAACGGTGAGAAATAAAATCTTGAAGCGTTGGAAGTCGCATAAAATTCATAAATTGTTAGGCTGCTGCGCGAGGGCCAAGGGACCGCTTCCATATTTTAAGAGCGCCCGCCGGCTTACATTGCCAGCTTCAAATATTGATTACTCGACTGAAATATTCCTATTCCATATTTAGTAAGCAATTTCATGCATCCTTGAGATATACAACATTTTATTGTTGCAAGAGTGCTTGTCACAGGATACTAAAGATTGCAAAATGTTTGTTCAAAACTGTTTTTACCCACTAAATAAGATATTATTATTAGAAATGAATCTATTGGACTAAAACAAGCTGAACCACTGTTGTAGCTTTGCAATTCTGGATTGTAAGATTTTACTGTGTCCTTATTTCCAATTTAATTGTATTTAAAAAACTACCCTTAGTTGGTTTCTAGTAAGTTGATCGTAGCTCGTAGCACATCGTAGCATCATCAGACAAGCTCAAACATTTTCCCGATCATACGCCTGAACTCGATAAAGCTGATATACTGTACTTATCAGATTGCATTATTTTTTATGTGCGGATGGTGTTTTTGTCGAAGCGCCTGGATTTTGTTATTTTTTTGAAGCAAAAATGATTAATGGATACGAGGATTATATCTAGTTAGGAATACGATTTTTAAGGACATGATAAATATAATATATGTAGCTTTTGTATGTCTAAAAATATTTCTTTAAAAATATAGATGAAATTAAATAAGAAATGTAAATCGAAACAAAAAAATTTGAAGTATGTAACAAAATACGTTATTACGTTTGTTCGCTTCAAAAGGCTGTGTTTTGTGTGTTTTGAAAATTTAATGATATCTTTGAAACCGTTTATAAAACAAAATACATTTTTTTTATTTGATATTACATATCTTTCATTTGTATTTGATGTGAAGAAATTCTCAGATAAAATTGCTGTGTAAAATTTTGATTTAAAAACTCTATGCATAACATCTTTTATTTAGAATCTAACATGATCCTCGGTAAGAACATAATATGTTAGGAATATCCATTTAAGAATCTACCTCTTTAGCTTGTGTGGATATGAAATTATAAATATATATAAAATAAATCAACATTTATGATACCCTTTCATTTGCATGCATATTACATCATTAGTATACAATTAATATGAAAGACATATTGTGTTCTAAGGCATGTCCCATTTAAACGGTATTAGTAATTGGGTAGAAGTGACGTAAGAGCAAAAAGCGCGTTAAGCCCACTCTATGGTCCTGATATATCTTGTTTGTCAGAAGCGCCTCTGCCGTTATAGCTCTATGAATATTCAACAGTAAGTTATATCTTGTGGAGTTTATAATTGAATTATACTCCAAATAGGAAACGATAACAGTTATTACCCGACAAAGATTGTGTAGAATACTACAAAATTGTTCCTTTAATATCCACCCCCTATTTTATGAAAACGTAATTCAAAATTAGAATAAGGAATTGCATAACCAGTTTTTGTCACGGAATATGTAAACAAAAAAGTACCTAATCACAATTAACATAAGATTTAATTTCACAATCCACGACGTCTTTTGTTTCTCGCTAATACAGTATTCAGTGTATTATTTAGGCGACAATCATTGTAATTGAGTTGAGTACGTGTCGCACTAATTACAGGCCGGGGCTTGAATTTCTGTCTAGACACTGAACACTGAACGCTTTTCAATTATGTAAATAATGCCATTTGTTGATTATTACTTGTTACTTTAAGTATTGTAAATAATGTATTAATAATTAATTTCTACATTGGTGATAGCCCAAGACGTTAACAGTAAGTGAAATTAAAAAGAAACTATAGTGTCTTCTTAAAGAATAATTATTATGCTATCGTTACATTTGTTAAAATGCTACATTACATAATGAATTTGAATAACATTTGTTAGTTGTTTTTATAAAATTTTGTTTTACAGCAAAATAACATTGAAAATTTCTATGTTGAAAAACTAACATGTTTTTCAATAGGGAAGCAACCGATGTACACGATGGAGTATTAAAACAAGCTCAAAACAATACGTCTGTAAATATAAAGTGTAAAACTGACGCGTTGCTGACACTTGCTATAGTGAATAGGTTTCACGATAACTTACAGTTAGAGCAAATATTTGTTGCATATTTTATCTCGCACTCTGAAAATAAATGTCGTACAATTGTAACAAAATAAATATTACTGTGTTTATTTTATTTATGATTTTCGTCCCTTAACACTTTTTATTTTGAACTTAAATATGTTTTCATTTGAAATGCGTTAATTTATCCGATATAATCTTATATTAGAATTCCACATCTTCCTTTAATACGAGGTTCATAAAATATCGTGAACAAGTTCATTTTCAGCGTAGGATTTATTTAAAACGATAAGAAAAAAATGTCGGCTTTATGTTTTGCGATACCACTTATCGCAACCGTGTTGAATTTATTAGACTTTTAAAATTCCTCTATAGTCGTTATTGATTTATTGCTATGGAAATCTGTAATTAAATATACGATTTTTGCATTAAACTTCGAAGTGAGGAACAATCTAATAGAGATCAAATTCATAAAATAACGTCGATATCGATAAGTTTTGATGAGACATTCAAAATTTTTAAAGAAATTTATGATAAAAATTGAATTATTTAAACATCTTACCCTATTAAAAAGAAATACATTGAAAAGGTAAGAATAAAATACGTTAGTGCCATTCAATACATTAATTTCCGTTTGCGTTCCAATAAATTATATTGAACTCCACAGTGTAGTGCGACTTCAATAGTCTGTAGGTGCATTTGACATTTTATTTAATTCGATAAATGGCAAGAGTTTTTCTTGCAGTTTTTTTAATACGATGTTGAGAGAAACGTAAAGTTTCCATTTTTATGTCACTTAAATTTAATTAAACCTTTTAATAATTAAGTTATAAAATGATAATTTTCCTTAACTAAACGTTGAATTGATCATTCTTACGTAGCATATTCGTAGCTTAGGTCAAACTGCTACGTCGTAGCGGACCGTAGCCGTGTAAATATAATATATTTTAGTAGTAATTGTGAACTTCTTATCAAATATCAACTAAGAAAAATTGCATAATGCATATAATGTACAGTTACGCTGTCCGAAACATGACTTAAATTGTTTACAATATACAAACAGTTTTTTTAAGAAATTTAAGATTAACTTTTTAATAAAGTAGTGAAGCATTTTACACATATCTATTTTTCAATGTAATTCATGTATGTATGAGATTGGACGTCTATTTGGTTTTATTCATTGCCGTGAAAAGCGATGAAAAGGATTGGAATCGTTGGATATCCGATGCTTTGACGCCTCTCACTTTATTGGATTAATTGATTTTTACCATATCAATGACACCTTCACTTTTTTATACTATGCATAGCGTATTACGTTTATTACTAATTTATTTTACCTTCATTACATAGATAATAGACAAACATTGTTAAAACGAAACATATTTATATTCGCAAAGAGACTTATGTTAACAATAACATATAAAGAATTCGGTGCAATCATTTTGCCAACGACTTGCATTAAAATCAATCAACTTTAAGACATCGACATGAGAAAACGTTTACACTCTCGTCGATAATAAATTGTGCAGGTCGCTTCAGGGAGATCGATGTGAATGGATTTTAGACGCAGATTTATGTTGGTTTACGCCGGGATTTAAAGCTCTATTTATTGCTTACTAACAGCAGAAGGGATATTGTCATTTGTTGTAATAGAGACAAAGTTCATATTGTGTTACAATAAAACTATATATTATACCCGATAAATATAAAATCTATGTACTAATACATCCAGGATATGGCATTTTTGTAAGGAAGATATCACTACTGTGATGTTATAACTAGATTTGATGTAGAATATTAACAAGATCGATATCCCAATCGCTTACGTATTTTACTATCTCGTTTAAGGTATCAATAAACGATATTTAAGTGAGAACATGAATTTATATCGCTATTTTTTTAACATAAGTTAATCTGTAAGTAAGTCTGCCTATAAAGGCAGACTTTTGTTAATTTACTAACGTTTCTTGTACTATTCTAACCAAGCCCTAGGCTTGTGCTAGGATATGGTTTACAACAATAGTCGAATGGCAGGATTCAAACTCTTGACCTCTAAGTCTGAGATCCGTACCCTTACCGTTTTTACTGTTTTCTTTGATGATTTGGAGAAACTAACTACAATATAAAAATAATACAATACTTTTGAGACAGTTTAACATACAAAAAAAGCTGAAATCAGAAAGAATCGCTGAAGTATTTAATGTAATAAATAATTGTTTTAGCATAAAATAAACAAGTTCTACGCCTTAGCTGACCTCTAGCGGCCCTCGATGAAACATGTAATGGCTAATAAATCACACAAAATACACAATCACTCCAGAATACAGCCAGAATAGCTCTTGCAATTTATGACTAATAAATATAAGACTTCGCGGCTCGATATTAAGGCCCTGTAACTGTATTGATCGATACGTAAGCATGTTGCCTTTACCCGTTAAATGGTGAGTTTTCACTAGCAAAACTTTTACATAAAACATTCTTAAGTGTATTAAATAAAATTATTTTAATATGGAACCTAATTGTATGCTAGCTGAAACTTCAAAACAATATCTATCGTTTCTTAAAGGACTTTGTAAGGATAAGAAAACTTA